TCCATCCTAAACTTGATATACTTGTTATTTTCTATAGTATCAAGGTCTCTGTGCTCTTCTCACTTTTGTTCTTTTACACCAGAGAAAATAATTTATCAGTCACATTAACTCACACATAACAATTACTCCTATATGGAACAGAACATATCTCTAATTATTTCACATTGAAACATCTTTTGGCTATATCTGTGTTCTCATAAATTTTAAGAGCATATTAACTGCAGAAAGTTATAAAAGTAGTGGCGCATATAAGGAATGGAGGAGACTTTGCTACACTGTTAGTTTTTAAATCAATTCTATATGTACATTTAGGCAATTCCTTGCTCTCCCTGGTGGTATTTTCCAGTTTAAGAATTATGTATGTACTTGATTATGTACATACATGATTCCTGACATTCTGTTATAGTGGAAAGTCCCTTTAACATGAGATCATCCCAACCTGATGTCTCAGTGCCAGCCTTGGAAATCACTGTTGAACAATCATATGAACTCAGAAATTTCCCATGTTCTCTTTCTGGATCATTTTTAATGTATTTTTCCATAATCATCATGACAAAGACCCTAGAAAATATTCTTTTAATTTTGGTTTCCCCTTAGGAAGGCAGACAACCTTGTTAATTTCATGTCTTATGTCATGTAGAGAGGTATTCAATGGCAGTATTTACTGTTATTTAAAACATACTTAGATCCATGAAAAAAAGCCTACACTAGTAAAAATATATATAGCAATAATAAGCTCACTTTTCTGGAGCTCTGTCATACATCACTATGCCAATTCAATAGTGATATTTTGCTCTACAGGGGTAAATAAACCTGATAAAATTTTAATATGATGTGTGTATAAGCCAGATAAAATTTTAATATGATGAGTCTTGAATAATCTAAATTACTTTATGATATTTTTACTGCATGACTGTTTGTGTATTTGAATTGTCATTTTTAAGTTGCTTAAAATTAGAGCATACTTCTCTGTTGGTAATAGAAGACAGTTAAAGAGAACTCTGTGAACCCTCAGTATAACATTATCGCAGTCATCCTGTAATGCTGACTGTCCTCTCGTGAAAATGTTCTCTTTCTGTACCACTCTAAGTTTTCTTCCCATCTCGCCACCTGTTCCCGCAAACTCTTACGTAGGCTTCTCCTCTTTTACCTGCTTAACAAGTATTTCTTAAAGCCCAAGTCAGAATGGCTAAATATCTTTTTGAAGGAAGTGAAAATCTAATTGCAGTAAATAGTGTTAGTCACTCAGTCGTGTCTGTCTCTTTGCGATCCCACGGACTGTAGCCCACCAGGCTCCTCTGTCCATGGGATTCTCCAGGCAAGAATACTGGAGTGGGTTGCCATTTCCTCCTCCAGGGGATCTTCCTGACCCAGGGATTGAACCCAGGTCTCCGGCATTGCAGACAGTTTCTTTACCCTCTGAGCCACCAGGGTGTGGGGTGGGGGGCATCTAAGTAAAAGTACACAGTAACAGCATGGATCACAAGTCCCTTGAAAGTCTATGATCTGACAGATTAGGTTAGTAGTTCTAATTGCAGCAAATACATTTATAGTTTTTCCAGCTAAAAAAACACACATTTGTCAGTCAGCTTTTTTAAACCTGAATTTTTGCTTTGTGAAAGGACCCTGCTGATCTTTATATTATCATATAATAATATGTTCTTACATGCAGATAAAAACAAATTATTATGAAGAACATCTGATGTGAAGAACTGACTCATTGGAAAAGACCCTGATGCTGGGAAAGATGGAAAGCAGGAGGAGAAGGGAACAACAGAGAATGGGATGGTTGGATGGCATCACCGACTCGATGGACATGAGTTAGAGCAAGCTCTGGGAGTTAGTGATGGACAGGGAAGCCTGGTGTGCTGCAGTCCATGGGGTCACAAAGAGTTGGACATGACTGAGCGACTGAACTGATGAAGAACATCATACTATTGCTGTGTGTGATTTTTATGTAATCAAGTCTTAAAATGATACTAGAGGATTATAGGTTGGATGAGATATTCCCACTAAAACACTTGTATCCCTCATTTCATAGGTGAGGAGGTAAGTCTCAAAAATTTAACTAACAGGAGCAAGCACACGACCAAATTAAAAACAGCAGCAACATCAGACTAATTTTAATGCTTATTACTTTTAACTAGCATTTATTAACAGTAAGTGAAGTTTACTATTACTTGTCCACTAAGATAACTCTTACAGATTTTTATCTACTATATACACAGAAAAAACTTGTATAATGTTTCTTCCTTTTCCTTATATTTATTTTAATATAATTTATTTGGGTTCAGTTCAGGCAGGACTTCTCAAAAATAGACAGGATGCTTGTTTTGTGTTTATAGTAAGGAACATAAGATAAAGAGTCATAGATTTAATACAAGCGGTGGGGATTGATGACTCCTGTTTTCCTATTATAATCCTTATATTAACCTTTTACAAATAAAATTACATATGTAAAGGGTTTATTAAATAAACTGATACTATTTTTCAAGTTTTAAAGAATATGAAAAACAGCTTTATTACTTTTCCTACCACTGTCTTCAACACCTCTTATTTGTTTCTCTTCTACATCTCTTGGAAACAACTTAGCTAGATCCTTTAGTTTTTTGAAAACTTTTATAAATAATTCCAGTTCTGGTAATAAGGGAATATTTTTTTTAATTGGGTTAACCCAACAAAGAATAATGATAATTCTAGGTCAAATTTTTAAAAAAACCCACAAATTGAATAGATTGTGTATCAGTCAAAAACAGGCATAAACTGTAGGCTCTTCAACCCTTTAAAGACAGTAACTGCTTGGGGACAGTGCCTTTTTTCCTAGAGCTCCTTCACAGAGAACACACCTCACTTAGGCAATAGAGGGTAGTTAGAGCTCATGCAAAAAGTCAGAAGAATCTTATTAGCTTGATGTGACAGAGGGCAGTGCTTGAGGTATCCAGACTGTCCAGAAATCAAAACAGACTCACATTAAGGAGGGAGCCACAGAGAAAGAAGCCCCATAATCTATGTATAAGCTTCCCTCAAATCACTGGTTGACTTCTAACCAACACAAGCATGAGAATAATTCTAGCTATCTAGAATAAAAAAGCCACTGAATGAACTTAATGGAAATTGGAGATGGCAAAATAAGAATCAATAACCTGGAAGCACATCAAGATATATTAACTAATCTAAAGTTCAGAGAGTAAAATATCATAATAAAATGAATAAGACCTCAGGGATGACCACCCCTCCACTATAAAAAAGGAGCAAAGTACAAATGATGGCTAACTTCTCATCAGAAACAATATTTGGCAAAAGACAGTAGAATGAAATATTTAAAGTCATGAACATTTAAAAAAACATGTACGGTAGTGAATGCTAACTAGACTTTTTGTGGTAATCATTTTGCAATATATCCATACATCAAAGCACTATGTTGTAAACTTGAAACTATTTATATTATGTTGTAAACATTGATACATAACTACATTATGTATGTATGTTAACCATGTTATGTATCAATGTTATTGCAAAATAATGAAACCATTTATTATTGTATGAATAATTACTGAATGACAATTTTGCTTTGATTTTTGAAATAAAAAGTTACTCTTGCTTTAAAATCACCAGCCTTGATTTTAGGAATAATAATGTTTCACCTATAATATTATTCTCAGACAATAAAAAAGTATAAAGAAAAAGATATTTTGATTATAAGTGATTGTGTTCTGAGACTCAGTGCTCTTGTCAAACATAAAATTAGCAGGGTCACTATTTGAAATATTTGAAAACACTAAGACAAAAAGTACCTATAGAAAATAATCCTGTCAACTCAGAGTTTGTTAAATGCTAATAATATTATTCAAGAATGAGGGTAAACAAAGAAATTTTAAGGTAAGCTAATGTAAAGAGTATATGTCACTTGTAGGACTGGACTTCAAGATATTCTAAAGGGAATTTCTTCAGGTTGAAGTAAGTGATACCAGTTAGAAGCTCAGGTGTATAGAAAGGAATAAAATGCCCCAGAAATAGTAGAAAAATAGTTAAAATATTAGACATTGTTTCCCTTCCCTTTATACTTTTGAAAGTCAATTGATTGTTTAAATAAAAAGTATAAAATTTTACTTTGGAGTTCATCAAATATAAATATATAACCACAATAACACAAAGGCTACGGTGAGTACAAATGGTATTATTTTGCTGTACATTTATTATTTTTAAATGAGAAATGATATGATTTTAAACTATATAAAGTGTGATAAGTTAAGAATGCCCATAGACTAACCACAGACAAACAAAAATCAAATAAACACAAATAAAAAGCTAAAAGGGAATAAAATCAAACACCCAAAAAATCAGCTAACCCAAAGGAAGGCCAGAAATGAAGGAACAGAGGGAAAAATGAAATACACAGAAATCAAATAGTAATTTATAGACCTAAATATGACTATTTAACTCATTGGGAAAGCATAATATTTTAAAATGTGGTGCACTTAGTAATAGAGCTTCCAAAAAGGAAGCAAAAACTGACAGGAACAGGGATAAAGTAATGGGGAAATTTAAAACACTTCTCTGAGAATTGCAGGAACAAGGAGAAAAATATACGTAAAAGTAGATTTACCTTATTTAGATCCAAAAATGAAATGATCAGTTCCTAAGTGATCAGAATCTTATTTATTTCTTGAACTTGTGTTTTAAAAGAACACAATGACATGAATTGTATTGGAAAAGGCATCGTGACTTCGTCATGTACCAAACAGTGATAATATGTTTGGAGTATAACTTTGGTAAAGGTAAATCCTTGCTCTAAATATTTTTTTATTATAGGACATATTTTGAAATTTAGGTTTGTATTGTCATCAATTTTTCTTTCCACAAAGTTCATGAAATAGTATTGGCTGAGACTTGCATTCAACACCACCACCTAAGGCCTTGCCTTACACTTATTTTAAATGAGCTTAGCTTCCAAGGATTATAGTCAACTTTAGATATGTAATAAACAAACAAATGCTTACCTTAAACACTAGCTCTCCTACCAAGCCATTCCATGTTCCATCTTCTTGTGGACTTCCATACTTGTGATCCGGTGCAACATAAATTTCATAGTTAAAACCCAGGTAGTTGGATAAGGCATCCAGAACATCAATGGAGAAGCCTTGGTATTTTTTCGGCTTACCCAGGACATTTTCAGACACCATTACAAAAGGTTCTTCCTATATGGAATTAAAAGAAATCATTGGTGTCAATCTATATTGCTCCTTTAAAGCAAAGATTAATTCTTCAAAGAATTCAGCTTACAGTCTAAAATTGATTTCATACTGTGAGAGAATAACTTTGAAATAAAACTTATGTGTTACTAATGCATCATTTTATCAAACAATGTTTAATCACCCAGTTTCTTGTCATCTCTCATTTAATTATTACCATATCAAAAAATGAGATGCAAGTGATTACAAAACTTCAGGAACCATAAATTCATTTCTCTTGCCATTTCAGGATGAACCTAAGATTCATCAACAATAATAATTATATTTAAGAAACCATGAATTTATTGTTTCTGTCCTCTATATTTGTAAAAATACATAAAAAATATTTTAAGAGATATAATAGACACAAATTGTTTTGAAAAGATACAAAAACCCTAAGAATTTATAATTTGGTTAAAATTTATAATATCACATTGGGAGTTATTTGCTAAGTAATTTTGAAACTTGGATAGAAACACCCATTTCATTGCAAAAGTAGTTTCTCCACTACTGTTATGAGAAATTCACTTGCTTTCTTGGTAATCTGTGTAATTTAGTAAATTTAGCAAATTGGTTTCCATTTCTACCTTTCATCTCTTTGCATTGTTGTGCTGTTACAGTTAACAAATGATCCCCTTTCACTTTCTAGAGCACCCGGTGTTATGAGCCCTAAATTGGTCTGACACATGCTGGCAGACTACAGAAAATTAGATAACCTATTTCTTAATTTCCTAAACTTGTTCAGAAAACTTTCAGCAACAGTAATATTTACAGATAACCATCCACAGTGTATATATCTACCTAGTCCTGTGGGCAGGTTAAAATCTATCCTCTGTCTAAGTCAGAATACCTAAGGATTGTAACCTTAAAGATTCACAAAATAGCCTTCATTGATTTGTAAAATAATACTTGGCTTTTGGCTCTTACTCAAAGACACTAAGTCAGTGCCTTATAAAATCAACTGCATCTATGATAGGAATATTGTCCACCATAACATTCAGTTCTCCATAAATATTATCATAAGTTTTTATATTGTCCAGAGGCAAGAGAGCTTAATTTTGCTTCAGTAATGCCTTTTTAAAAATAATGAAAATAAAGGAAATAATCATTTAGATATCCTATTTCACTTTAGATACCCAGGAGACCACAATGCTCATCCATAACTATGCTGACATTGTGGTATTTGTAATTTTCAAAAAATCTTGGTTTTCCAAATTGCTGATACTTTTTTTATTAAAGAAATGGTCTTGTTTAACTGTTTATAACTTATCTTAGAGCAAAATAAATCAGTAAATGAGCAGTTAGATGAAGGAGATGACTGCTATTTGTTCCCCAGTAGTAGGAACAATTAACTGTTCTTCATTGATTATACATATCTATTTTCAAATCAGCAGTTGCGAATATAGACAATCCACAATCTCCCTTTAGGCAAAGTGAGACCATGTGACTAGTTCTGAGAAGTGTGATGTAACCAGGGTGGTTGGTGCAACTCTTGTGTCCTTTCTACTTCTTCCAGCTGGAATGAACACATAACAGCTGGAAGCTCTGGTAACTATCTTAGCTCACACATAATAGAGAAATAATACAGAAATGCATGTCCTTGACATTTGAAATGCTATAGAAGATTCTCACTGACTCTCTACTGCTCTAAAATGTAAAAAAAAAAAAGAAAGAAAGAAAACCTCAATTTCTTATTGTTGTTAAGCTCCAGATATTTTTTTCGGTTTTACCAGTATTTGATGCTAATGAACAAAGATAGATTGATATATATCAATAGGTTGGAAACTTTGAGAATGAATGAAAATTTTTAACAATTCTGACTTGTTTAATCTAAATGATATCAACTAAATAAAAAGTAAAAATCCAATAAATCCTTTAATACTATGCGTAAAATACAGAACATTTTCTTGATTCTAAATGAAAACTTCCAGCTAACATAGCAGAGTTTATCACTGTTCATTTGGTTGTTTGGACAAAACACAGACCTAGTTAATGATAATGCATTGCACAATGCATCTGTGACCTGAAGTCACAAAATCATTCAGAACAGTTCAAAGAAATTCCAAAATAAAGATCATATTCAGAGAGCATGAAAGTAAGATCAGGAAATTCTAGAATTAATTGGGCATTGATTATTTATATCATGTTATGCATGCTGGCACAGAGAGCATTTACTTATTTCCTTATACACATCTCATTCATTGTTATATTTTGAACATCTATCCATCGACAAACTAATGAAAAGATGCTTCATAAAATACTTTATTGGTCCTCTACCAATAATTTTGACCATATATATTCTTTATTTATCCATGGACTTAAAATCTAACAAATCTCTTAGGTTCAGCAGCAATTTAATCACCAGGAAGTGGAAAACCAGTCTTTAGGGTGACATTTGGAAAATTAAGAGGACTAATTATAATGCAAAGCTAACTGCTCTATGTGGCAAAAATAATACCCCAATGTATGCTTTCATATGAAATAGTGATTCTTTTCAATTCTATTAACATATCTTTAGAACAATTGTTTAATATGCTAAGTTGTGTCATATTTGCTTAGTATGCTGAATTTACCCCTAGAAAATATTTTTAATTGCAACTTTATAAGTAAATCCCTAGGCAAATGGATCCCTTTCAGAAGTCTGTTGTCAAAATCTGTTCCTAGCAACATCAGCTACAAATGATTAAAGATACAGAATAAAAATGATTACACTAAGGGTTTTTTAAAGAGAGTTGATGAATTATTGATGAACACGCTTTTTAATTTTACATCCTAAATAAACTTTATTACATTTTATCACTATCCTCTAGATCAATGTTCTTAAGCTTTGTTTTTAAGCTCTATTACACATTGGGATTGCTATGCATAAATCCTACCTAAGACCAGTTGTGTTTTATGAGGACAATCAGCCAATATAGTGGACAAGTAAACATAGCAACAGAAATTCGACTGAAACTCTGGGACCGATAATAGACAAGATATTTGCTCCTTCTCTATGGCAAGTAATACTGAGTTTGGTTTAATCACTTTTATCTATGTACCTATTTCCAAAATTTATTTACTCATTGAGTCATCCATTTAACATGCATTAAGCAGTTATTGAATCAAATTACTACACTCAATATAGTGAGAGATATTGGTAAAAAGTCATGGACACCATCTTCAAAACAATTATAACCTGCTATTGGGAAAGTTATGTACTCAAAAAACATAAAGCAAAACTTAAGTATCACACACCATGACTGGCATGAACAGAAGACCAGAGCAATACAAAGGAAACTGTAAAAATAATGGAAATAGGGAGTTTCATAGTGGTCCAGTGGCTAAGGCTCCATGCTCCCAATGCAGGGGGCTAAGGTTGGATCCCTGGTCAGGGAACTAGATTCTGTATGCCACAACTAAAGGTCTAAGATTCCACTTGCCACAACTAAGACTTGACCTTGCCAAATAGATATTAACAAAAAAGGAAAATTACTATGCTGGGGGTTACAGGCATGCATTATTTTAACAGATAAGAAAAATTAGAAACAAATGTTTCAACTCAAAATCACACAATAATGTACAGAAGACAAAGGCATTGTCATAGTGCATCTTACTTCAACTTCATCTCTTTGAACCTCAAAATTATCAGTGAGTAGATTAAAACACAAGATACCATAATTTGTTTCATATTTTAAAGCAAGTTAAGTTGGTGTGAGACTGATAGACTCCAGATTCCTGACAAAAAAAAAAAAAATCCTCTTTCATTTTAATTCTTACATTGTCCCTTCAAACAATTGGTCGAATATTCTGTCCAAGCAAAAGTTCAAGATATTATGTAAAGTGTTAGTCACTCAGTCGTGTCTAATTTCTGCAAGCTCATGGACTGAGGCCTGCCTGGCTCCTCTGTCCATGGAATTCTCCAGGCAAGAATTACTAGAGTGGGTTGGCCATTCCCTTCTCTAATTATGTAAAAGGAAATTGTATTTCATATATAGAAGCAGCAGAAATAATATATAACAAAAACATCCTTTAAAGAAGTTAAATGCTGAAATTTTCAAATGCATACTATAAAAATTGTGTTTACTATTTTTAAGGAAATAGGAGAAATCTTTTGGCAGGAAATACAAAACTAAAGAAAGTGTCATTGTAAAAATTAAAAAGAACTAAACAGAAATTTAAGAGTTAGACTAGACAATGACCAAAGTAAGTAACTAAATGACTTAGTTTATCAGCATAATTGGAAACAGATGAATAGAGAATTAGTGACCTGTTACAGATTAGAATTTAATATCCAGGGTATAAAGGGATAAACAAAAAATTAAAAAAGAAGGGAGGGGTAGGGATGACAAACAGAAAGAAATATGACAAAATTAGTATGATAATCCCAAATAGTGTGAAGGATATGAAGAAATAGGAGTTAACATGACTTTTGAGGGATGTTTAAATTGGTGCAAACACTTTGAAAAACATTTTGACATACCTAGTAGAGACTGAAAATACTTATATGCAAGTTAATTCTGCCTGATTTTGAGTGCTACATAAGAAATTGCCTAGTATGAAGATATGGACAGCTATGTCCTAGCAACTTCACTCTGAATATGAACACTACAGAATGTAGGGCACAAACATATATCCCCAAGAATCTTGATAGCAGTATTGTCTATAGCAGCCCAAATATAGAAATAATCTCAGACCATGAACTCAATGCCAAACTCAGACTTAATATGAAAGTGTAGGGAAAACCATTAGACCATTCAGGTATAACCTAAATCAAACCCCTTAAAATTATACAGTGGAAATGACAAATAGATTCACGGGACTAGATCTGATAGAGAGAGTGCCTGATGAACTATGGATGGAGGTTTGTAATATTGTATAGGAGGCAGTGATTAAGATCATCCCCAAGAAAAAGAAATGCAAAAAGGCAAAATGGTTGAGGAGGCCTTAAAATTGCTTTGAAAAGAAGAGAAGTAAAAGGCAAAGGA